AGAGTCCCATTAACTTAAGGAGGATTTGGATCAGACCTAAAAGCTTCTCTCTGAAATGAGTTATGTACAGGACCAATTTGGCATGACTAGTTCTGCCTTTCCTTCCCAGTAGGCCTGGGGGGGAATGGGAGATGCTGTTAACCAGGCATCAAGCCTAAGTGATCAAAAATATTTTTTGCAAGCAAGAGGTAATAAGACCTCACTAATAATAATGCAGGTTTCTTTCCTGTTTCATCAGATTGCTAAGTCATGTTGGTGTTGTTATTCGGTCATATAGTAAAATGGGCGCAAAACAGAAAGCAAGACATTTCCCACTGAGCATGGTGCTGGAGATCCTGCCCAAGGGATAAGCTCCACTTCAACAGTCCAGAGCACTGTAAAGAGTCCCACTGGCCTCGGTAAGGCTCTGCATGGACTCGGGGTTTGCATACATAGAGTTAAGTCCAGGATCAGGGCCTTAGCTTCTATCTGGTTTGACTGAATCAATTCTTATCTATCAATAGATTTTCACCAGTTTAGTTAAACTAATGCAATCCCTGTCTGGGCACTCTTATTTCTACATAAGATTATCTTGCTCCTAATCATCTTCAATAAGGTTGGGTTGGGTACAGGCAGTATTTTGTGTTAGTTTAAGAACATCAGTTTAACTTCTCCCTTTACCTTAAACTGGTGCAGTTTGACATGTAAACAGGTCCTATTCCACCTTTAATGGGAAGTTTACCTACACATAACCGGTTACTCTAAAAAGCACCATCTTGCCTTGCCTTCTGCAAGATCCTAACTTACCCTAGTTCAGCTGACTAAAATAGGTAACATCCAAGCAGCCAGGTTTAGAGAGGAGAGTGAGTGGAGTGGTTTTATGACAGACTGTTTTTCATTATACCAATGGCTGTTCATTGAAACGGAAACATTTGGAGAAACGGTATCAATTCCAGTGAAAATGTCTTAGCTCCAAGAAGGAACAGCCAGGACTAAGCTCCTTCACTGGTGAGCGACCCATGCACATCGTCCTCTTTGCAGAGTTCAGAGCATGGGCTTTGGCCTGGGTCTTCCCTGTCCCATTCACCTGACTAAATACTGGGGTATTGACTATTGAGTGCGAGTCTCTTGGTGGAAATGTTGAAAAGGTCTCAGTTTTGTTCTGGTGCTGAATGAACATTTTGAAACCTTGGCATTTTGGGTAAAACAAAGTTCCTGTTTTCTGGCTAGCTCCAGAAAAGAAGCTGGTGAGGCAGATCCTCCTTGTAAGGAGCTGGTGCTTAATTGAAGTTAATGAAGCTGTGTTAATTTCCACAACCTGAGGACCTGGCCTATTCTGATCATGCAGAACTGATTAGCCAGGGCACAAAGCACTGGAGAATCTGACGGGATTGTCACACTTGAGTAAAATCAGTGCGAGACCAGACCAGCATGCTCAGAATTATATCAGGGTTTTGATTGAGAACTTTCCATTGTTTTGCTCCTCCGTGGTAGTTGCGTGACCAAATCTCTGAGCAGCTTTGAAAATCCAGGAGTTGGGTTCAATTCTTAATGTTACATGAGTGTAGGTCAGCTCAAGGAGATCTATTACAGGATGCTATGGCCATTTGCTTTGCTCTTAGGGGGAGTTTTCATAATCATCAACAGCTGCAAGCGTAGGAGCACACAAAGAAAGAAAAGAAATGTCCATGTCTTTGTAATCAGAAGCAGGCGGCCACCAAGCTCTGGTATCATACGACTCCGTGCGCAGTGACAATAAGAGTGTTGTATTCCTGAGAAGAGCAATGAATTTTCCTGCTATAAGCAGCATGCTGGGAAAGGGGGGTAAAAAGGAGAGAAGGCTGGCAGGAAAACGTCACCCACAAATAACGCTGAAACTGGAAGTGAAAGAGGCAGTTTCTTCATGTCATTTTCTACATATCGTTGGAAAAGAAGGGCCTCCCCCCTATCTCCCCAAAGAACAAACATGGAAATCCTCCTGAGTGTTTACATATTACAAAGAAATAGCACCCGTGTCAAAGGGAAAGCATGTGAAAGCAAATAGTTCAAGTGGCATGGCTGTTGGCAGCAAGAGAAAAATGCTTCGGAGTCAAACGTCACTGATAACCCTGTGAGGACTGGAGGTGTTGGACTGCAATGCCAGGATGTTTTTGTCAGCACCTCCATACGAGCTATTTTAGCAAGCTGACAACCCAGCCGTTTCAGTCAATTTACATGCCATGGACTCCTCCCGCAGCGGAGCTCTTCAAACCACTTTCCTGGTTAGTGGGATTCTCGCAGTCATGGTAGAAATTGTTATGGTGTCCAAATTATATTGCCTTTTAGTAGGAACCTGGGATTTCATTAGTGTGTGATTTTCTTCTGAAAAATGACCGCACGGTAGTGCATCATCCTGGGCCTTTAAAAAAAAAATGATGAGTCTGAATTCAGATATCACGGGATTAGCCCAAAAACCCAGTTTCCTTTTTTTTTAAGCAATCGCTTTTTGTTGTACATTTTATTTGTCGACTGCTTTCAAAACCCTTAGGACATCCTTGGGTCATGTTTTTTTCCAGTCTCCCTTTGCAGCCATGGGGGGTAGATTTTTTTCTCCCCTAAAGGAAAATTGAGATACAAGGACAGACAGTGATTTCAGGAGCTGGGGCTTTAAGCAAAAGACTGAGTATTTCAATGCCTACAGTAAATTGAGAGCTGGAAAAAAGGAGAATGACAGTGCAAGGTTCTCGCTTCGTGGCCTAAAGAAGTGCATTTTGTGCCTGAAAGCATGTCTAACTCTTATTTTGATAAAAGATATTACTAAACAGATCTTGCTCTTCGCTGTTTCCCTGGATCCTTGTGGATACAACACTACAATGCTATTGCATGAACACTGTCACATACTTATTCAGGAGATCTTCTGCGGTGAAATCCTGGCTCCACAGGTATTAATGAAAGTTGGCCATGTCAAAGCATGATCCCTTGTGTCTGTATGCACAGGTCTAGCTGCTTACCTTAATGACAAAAATATATTGTACTTGCCTTTATTTCCCTAACCTTGCAGAATTCATTCAGTTTAAGAAAGAGTGATGGTATTTTAATTTAACACAATGAGGGTTATTTTCACTGCTATGAGTATGGTATGAAGGGAGGTTTTTTGGAAGAGCTCCATTGGTCTGGGATGAGGTATGTATTAGTAAAAATATGGTCAAAGTTAAGGAGTTACAAAGCCCAGAGATGTCTGTCAAAATTTAGTCCAGCCTACTCAGGAGAGAGGTTACCGCTATGCTGAGGTGTCAGCCCATCTGTCAACAGTGCCCAGAGCCAGCAGGAGGTAGCACAGCGCTTGCTCTCCTCTCCCCGTGTTTGGGACGTTTGATCACCATTGCTGCCTTTATGAGATTTCAAAGTTTGTGCACCATCAGCAACTTTGGTTATAAAGCTCTATTCACACCCTCAGTGTGCAAACCCCTTCACAGAAACACATTTTGAAGGCAACCAGGTCAGAGTAGAAGGAAATAAAGGGCGTCGTTTGGCCTGCAAAACCTTTAAGATTGATGATGTCTGATGCCAGGTACGCTGCATGGGGCTGGTTTCCTTTGTCACCTGGAATCAACAGACAAGCATCCGGACCCTCACTGTCCCATATGTACAGTCACTTTGCAGAACAAAGCCCTATTTTAAATGCAAATCCATTTCAGTGCCAACTCCGAAAGTGAACATGTACTACAGGCCATGTGTTCCTGATCCCTAGTACACGTGAATCTGCTGAGGGCCCAGCCGAAGAACTGGAGTAGCTGTCATCCGTTTGGAGGTTCCTCATTCAGTCAAGGTAAGCCAGCCAGAACGGTGGCATTCACTCCTAAGTCACAGCCACAAGCACTCCTGTCGTTGAATTAGATGCTGAAGTTGTTCTGGTTGTTCAGGAAGGACAGAAACAAGCAGGTCCTTCTCGTGTTCTCTCCTGCAGATTTGAAAATGAAATAAAAAAGGGCTGATAGGTAACCTCGGAGGGAAATTCTGCCCTCTGCGTGGCTGCTTTGTGCTGTTTCTGGCAATCCCTAATGGGAATTCGCTGTGGACGGTATCATTGTATCTCTGGACAGCTGTCATAATGCAGAGAAACACTGAGGCTGCTCTAAGTTATGTTTGGGATTGCAAAGGTACCAACATCACAAAGTTACAATGATGGTGTAAGAGCAATGTGGCCCTTCGGGGGAGGCAGATAACCCTGGGGTAGGAACCCAGCTGTGGGTGATTAGCAGGCAGTTAAAAGTCCAAGGGGGAGAAAGAACAAGCACTGTGCATCGGGGTGAAAGCAGACTGATATCCAGAGGCAATTGCTTCTAGGAAGAGCTGGTATTAAATGGCATTTTCCTGCTGCTTGGAGAAAGCATGAAGGTTTGCTTGCTTGTTTGTTTGAAGCAAGGGTTATTGTTGGAGCTATGAGGGGCTCAAAAGGGAGCAAAGCTGGATGGAGGCTGCAGGCACCCAGGGGTGCTCACAGACTGGTATTTGGTTTTGGGAAGGACTCTTGTGGGAGCAGAGCCTGCCTGCACAGCACCAGGTGCACTGACCTGCTTCTACCCTCTTCTCTTTCCCATTCCCCAAGCTGTCCTGAACACATGTGCAAGGACCTGGCTTATCAGCTTGCTGGCCACTGAAGAGACCTACCAGAAATATCTCTTCTTTTTTTTTTTTTTCAGCTAGAGGAAACTGGAATTGGAGGAAGGGGCGTTCCTTTGAAAGAGGCCAAGAGGGTCAGTGCCAGCTGGCTGTTCTGATGCTTTTACCTGGGACAATGCCAGGGTCAGGGCAAAACACAGGCAGGTGTTGAAGAGGGCTTTTTTGCACTGCTAAGATCTAGCTCCTTCCCAGAGCTGACATCAGTTGAGACCCCTTGAGCTAGGCATCTCACTGTATGTGGGAGAGGTGGGAAGGCTATCTCCTTCCTTTAAGGATAGGGCAGTAAATATGTCCACGCAACCTAAGGGCTAGGGCAGCAGAAGTGCTTTGCTCAGAGTCTTACCCTGTAGCACGTTCCTATAGGCTGCACCTTCCCCAAATACATGATTGTTAGTGGGAAGGCAACAATCAGACTGCATTTCCCACACTGACTTCTTTCACTGGAAACCCACAGATCTTTTCCAGCTGTGGCAAACTGGAAGGGCTGATAGGTAAGTGTCCTTTGGGAACTCGTGGGGTGTCCCTGGGCAGGCAGCAGTAGGCACTAATGCTCAAGGATGCACCTACCACATTTAGGGTCATGCTGCTGAGCCTCTGTTTGCTGGAAATTATAACTTAGTTACTTGCACAGAGTCCATGGCACAACTACAAGGATATGATCCTGCTATCACAGAGTGAACTAGGCCTTTAATTGAACTGCAAGCCCCATTCTCACCTGTGCTTGGCTTTCCTCTCATTTCAAGTAACTGCTCAGCTGAAGCAAGAAAGGGAGGAACCAGTTTCCTGTGCTCATTAGATCTAGAGAGCAGGATGGCTTGGCTTGCTGTATTACAAAGGCACCAAGGACAGGCTGAAAGGCTCTAAAGCCATGAAATGCTACTTGCAGTGACCCTGGCAAAAAGCAACTTTATGCTTTTGTGATTGATGCTTGTGGAGAAGTGGGCTGGAGGCCTCTTTCTGTGGTGTGCTCAATAGAGGTGATGTGCAAACCTTGGGGAGGATAGGAAAGATTTGGGACCTCAAGGCTTCTCTTCTGATACAAGCGGGGAAGAATTCAATAGTCCCTAGGAAGAGACCCCAAAAAGGCTTATGGACTCCTGCAAGAGGCGGACTTAGCTGGAAAGCCCAATGATGTTATCAGCCTGGATGTGACCCTCAGCAGAAAACCTGGGACTGCTGCATGCTTTAAAGGTAAGCTAATTCCCACCCGCTGTGGCAAAAGGCTATTATTTGAATCCTTAAAGGTGGGGAAACTGAGTTAAAGTCAAGGTTACAAAGACATTTCTGTGTTGTAAGGCTGTATTGGCTGGGTGCAAGGATAAGTAAGCGTGCTCCCAAACCAGGAGCTAGAGTACCTCTGCTATGCCATAGCTGTGTAAATGAGGAGAGGAGAGAAGAGAACCGCTGGTAGTCCCATGCCCCTGGAAATAAGCAGTTTAAAATAATGGCATCAATGTGCTCTGGAGCTTCCCGACTCTTGTCTGCTATGCTGCAGCACCTGTCTCCGTGGGCACTCAATGGTGTGAAGTGCTATGTGTCAGTACAGCTGTTGCTGTGATACAGATCTGAAATATAGACATGCCTTACTGTTCAGATGGGCAAGCCAGCCACTGCAGGTTTGACTGTGTAAGGTTGCACCCGTTCCCACCACGAGACTCACTTCCTGGTATGTATCTGGAAAAAGCAAACTTCTGCCTATGCCCTGCCCTCTAGACTTCAGCTAGCAATGGGGATACTCTCCCCAGAGATCTGCATCAGTAAACAGCGGGAATAAGTTAGAAATACAGAGGGAGCTGAGGTTGACAAGTCCAGATAGTCAGTCACATCCTGCTGGAGGGGTTTGGTTTTGTTGTGTGTGTTTTTTTTTTTGTTTTTTTTTGTTTGTTTTGGGTTTTTTTTTGTGGGGGGGGGGTTGTCTTATTTTTGGTTTTTTAACTCCGGATACAGCCAAAGGGCTCGGTTTCAAGTCAACCCATATGCATTTACCTTTCATCCTTAAGGGAAAGGGGAGATGGAATAACATTGTTCAATTCCTGCAGCATTTTGTGCTCAGCCACCAAAACAAGCTAGTAATGGTCAATGGTAGTGTTGTACCATGACTTTGATACGGTTGTATAACAGGGAGCTTCCCACAGCTAACAAGATAAATTTCAATGTCACCAGAAAGGCTAGGTGTCATGTACTCCAAGACCCAGTTCTGTTGCCATTAAACTAGAGACAACAAGCGTTTGCCCCTGGAGTAGGAGCAGGGCTGCAGTTTGTGCCCGACGTCCTCACCGTGAACTCTCAGACTGTCATGCAGAGCAAAACATGTGCAAGTCTGTCCAATTCTGAGCTGGTACTGCAGGTTCACAGTAAAATCAAGTAGCTTCTCACACCCTACAGCCTGTTTGACAAGAGGCTTTCTGTGCTTTATTGCAAGCCCTTAATGAAGGTTTGAACAAATGGGCTATGGACCAGGCTTAGGATCAGGTGATCCCAATTTTCCCCACTTCACAACTGATTATCAAATCCTCTTGGCTCAGCTGAAGTAGAGCTCTTATCCTTTAAAGCAGACGGAAGAAGGAATTGGGTTTTTAGAGTGAAACCAGCAGTCAGCTTTATGACAGCATGACTCGAATATTAAGGGCTAATGTGTTGGTTATTAAAGTGCATCCACATTCCCCTCCTCTTCTCCACCCCTAGCCCCCATAAGAAGTGCCATTAACTTAATGGATGCCTATGGCATCTTGAGTCTTTTGAGCTGCTAGAGCAGTGAAATGCTCCTTAGCAGTTCCCTCTTAGTGTTTTGGGGCCAAATTGTGAACTCATTACTCTGATGGTTCATAATTTTTGAACTTCTTTCTACTATACACAACTGGTTTGACCCAAAACAGTCGAGTCTGATACTACATTCAGCCAGGCTTATCTTAAACCAGTTTCAGCCATTTTGAAACAGATTTATATGCACTGAACGTCTGTTTTGTTACAGGTTTTAAATCATTTAAACTGGTTTACATGTAACTTCTGTCCCTAGCCCAAGACTGTGGGATCAATTTGATGCGCAAAACCACTCTTTGGGCAAGGAAGTCTGTGTAGGGGGTATAATGGGGGCTCATGAGATCTAACCTGTCAGACTGGAGCTCAGCCAGGGCTAAACCCTCCAGTTGCCCGAATCCAATTCTTGCTTGATATCTATTCAGGCAACCTCCAAACAAAGCCAGTGGAAGCTTCTTGGAGGAAGCACCGACTGACTGAATTCAGCCGGAGACTGGAATAATGTCAAGATGGCTGGCTGTCTTTTAGCTGTCTTCTCACTTCCTACCCCTGTTCTTTCTTGATGCAGTTGCCATTCACAAGCAAACAGCAGACTTTTTTCGGTATCAGCCTTGTCCAAATCCCTCAAGCTCCAAGCCTAGCCCATGGCCTGACCCAGCACTAAGGAGCTTCGACTGTTGCTCCTGCGGAGATGTAAATGCTTTGGTTGCTGGTGTCCAAAACATGCTAATGCAACTAGTGTCCCAATTCAGGATTTTCTCTTGTCTCCAGGGGTGTTGAGTTACTGTTCTAACCTACTTGGCAAATGAGCACCAAGGTCTTGGAGGCTGCCCATTTTCCAAGGAGGCCCAGTCTTTCTCCATCTACTGAGCTTTCAGATCCATCCTGACATTTTTAAATACCATGGGATAGACTGTCTCACACATGCCTTGATAGTATCAAGGCATGTGTGAGGCATACCATGGGACATAGACTCTCCTTTGCTCACTCTCTGGTCTTGGAACCTGGGTTGCTCCCTTTATGATACCATCTTCTTGGCCTGCATGGAGAAAAGTGAGCACTTGCTTTCAAAACACTCATCTGTCTGAAGCTAATGGGATCAGACAGTCTGCCAGCAAGGTGCAGATATTCATGTTGCTGAGAGGGGCTCTGGAAAGATGGCCCCTTAAATACAAGGCAAAGAATTCATAAGTCTTTTCACTTGTAGTTATACTGCCGTGTACAAGGCCACAGCATAGCACAGCAGGCATTAAATGGAGTCTTACAGAAAGGCCCCCCTGACTTGTGTGCTTATCCAAGCAATAAGCAAAGCTCGAGAATCCCACTTCTCTCTTTCCATGTAAGCACAGCAGAAATATGGGGGTTTCTTGCATTTCCTTGTAACCCCTAAACAGTTGTCCTGGCATCCTGGACTGATTCCCCTGAGAGGAAAGAGAAACAGTGGGAGAGGTACCTCACGGACTCGCATTCACATAGTAGCTAAGGTAAAAGGAGTAAGCAAGCATATGTACTGGCTGTGCGGAAGATACCTTAACATCACCATGTGGATTGTTTCGCCTTTCAGTTGCCCTGGCAAGAGACTTGACCACACATGAAGCCTATCGTTTTATATTTAGCCCTCTCTGCTTAAGTTTTGCTGAATGGTGTTGAAAGAACTTGAGATTTGAACAATTATAGCATGGACAGAGTCACTTGTCAATGAGTTTCCCCAATACCCGTGGAAAACCTAATCCATCTCGAGTCAACAAAGCACAGGAGGGTCTAGTGGGAATAATAAATACTCTTGATATACAAGTAGTTTGTCTGGCCTCCATGTAGAGCCCAGCAGGTCTTCATGGAGGCAGTGGGGAGGCTGGACTACTCACTAACTTTCTGGCTGTATGGAAGAGGGTTGGTATCTGCTTGTGGAAACATCTAGAGAACTAGATAAATTTGAATGACTCTTGACACACACTGAAATGAGGGGAGAGTGTGGAGTGTATAAGTCAAATGGAAGGAGGCTCCCAGTAACTCCTAGATGGGTATTAATAGGTACAGGCAGGTAGGGTACCCTTTAGGGAATTTGCACACTCGCTGCTCTGACTCGGTCTGCATTTGACTTGTGCAAGGCCTGATCCTTCAGGGTTCAGTTCTCTCCCCCCTAATATCTTTTGCCCTTTAGGGATGGGACACATTTGCTCAAATAAGTAATATTGCTAATAAGCTTTCCAAGTGTTTTCGGTAACTGCTCGCTTCCAGCTGATATTTGTCTTCTCAGACAGAGCTGGTATCTAGATGTGTGTAATAAGGTGTTGGGTTTTTCTGGTTTGTTTCTTTGTGGGGTGTCTTTCTTGTGGGTTTAAAGCCACTGATGTCCAGTGTGCATTTACAGAGCCTCGTTGGGTGTAGACACAGGACCTCAGCAATCTTCTTGGGCTCATCTTTATAGCGATTATAAAATCAGATGTTGGAACAAGTATATTCTCAACGTGCTGCAGGGATGACAGCAATTCTGGCAGATCCTATCCTTCCTCTCTTCAGTAAGCAAGCGTTTTGGCCACTTATCACTGGCTTATTATGCTCATATAGCAGCGTAGCCTTGCAGACAGGACGTTGGACTGGGACCCAAGTCCTGTGGTTCAGTCCTGACTTTCACAGCAACCCGTTGTGTGATGTAAGTGATAGTTCCCTTGCCTTGCTGTACTTCTACTGTCCTGTCCTCTACCCGTCATATCTACATGGTTTAACTTTTTTAGGTTGCGTAGGTCTCTTAATGCGTGCATGCCGACCACACTGAGTCTCTGAGCTTGGTTGGCATCTAACAGCTACATAATACAAATAAGTGCAAGTGGAAAACCTAATACCTGTGCAGAGCATTCCAAAGTGTGGTATTTTCTGAGGCATAGTTGGAGTAGATTAAGTCCTATTAAGATAACATTTCAATATCTAAGTGTTTTGAGAAGCATTTCTTAGCTGTCCTCGGTGGTGAAGGCCCATTCCATTTTTATGTTGGCATTATGCTGCACATGCCACACAGCAAACTCATGAACCTGAAAAACCTAACGGGACACTTGATACACCAAACGTGGTGAAACACAAAGGAACACGAGCAAATATTCAGTCGGATACTTGACCACGTGAACGCACATGAACAATCTTCCTCTGAGTGATACGCCCATGCCTGACGACTGTTACAGTCCATTACTTGCCAAACACAACTTGCATGCCTCTGTCTGTCACTGAATGCACTCATTGGCATTCATGATGTAGATTTTGTGATGAGAATAATGCCTGGCTTCTTTTCCCCAGCCACATGCAACGTTTTCTGTAGGATTGTTTTCTGCGGAAAAATCCCATCGTTGATCCACATGAGTTAAAAATTGTTCAGTTAACAGAGATGCCAAGAGGTGGGTGGAGGGGAAGGGGGTGTAAAGTCTATGCTGAGAAGAGTGAAC